ATCATCAATAGTGTTCCCAAGACATCTAAGGCCCCGTTCACATTGAGCGATTTATCGCGCAGTAATTCCCGCGATATCGCGGCATTTACAGCGCGATATCGCTCTTCAATGCTTTGCAATGGGGCAAAGGGTCCTGCTGTCACGGGTCGTGTGTCGCTACAGCAGGACCCTTTTTGGAGCGGATTTTGCCGCGATTCAATGGTTTTTGATGCAAGCATTTGCGCGATATCGCGCAAAATGCAAATCGCGCGACAAACGCGCGATTTGCAAATTGCTTAATGTGAACGGGGCCTAAGACATTGCAAAGTGTTTCAACTTTTTAACATCTACTAAAAACTGGAATATCAGTTTTGGGTAGACTGACACTTTCATTAGATACTACTTGGCTATAAAAAGTTTTTCTTATGTAGAAGTAAGATTAATTGGTCATTCCCCTTGAAAGTCATGTTCCTACCTGCCAATGACACCTGTTGCCTCAGCCACAATGTAAAATACATACAAAATCCAAGAGAGAATGGAAGGTATTCAAGCCTAGGCATTCAAGGGATAAGATTTTACTGCTAGACTACTTAACCTATATAAGAAATGATTAGGATGTTTGACAAATACATGCTTTGGGTGGCATAACCCTTTAACTGATCATTAGAAGCAGCACATGCAAAGTCTTTAAAGTACATACTAGTGTTAGCATTACTAGGTGTTGGCTGCCATGTTAAGGGTTACACTTGTGGCCATCGAGATTGATAACTGGAGATTAGCCACATAGTGCCTTTAGTCTATGCTTACGATAGGTTCTTTTAAATGTGGGTTATAGGCTAAAAATCAGAGATCAATAGTAGATGTAGAACAACAAAGTATCTTCTGGTTTTCACAACACTGTAGTAATAGATATGGATTAAATCAAAGCTGTCCAAGTAGCAAGCTATGTGGTTAGCTGGGCACACCATGCAAGATAAAGTTGGGGTCCTTATGTTTCTTACAAAGTTCACTTGGCCCTGCTGTATGATAAGATGGTTCTCAATTATGTTTCTAGGTTTCGAGTGATGAATGTCTTTATTCCAAATCTTTGGCTGTGACTTAAAAACGTGACATTAATACACCTTTTAAAAAGACGAAATGCATTACATTGGTCACAAATGGGCGATTTCAGGTCCTTTTATCAACTTAGACTGGAAAAGTAACATATGACTATAGTTAAAGAAGCCTATCTAATGCAGGACTTAGGGCAGTTTATAAATTATATAGCTTTTTAAACTGATATATAAAAAGTATTTTTATAACTATTCCATCCATTTTCTCTGCTTTAGAGTACTGTGTGATTTTTTTCCATGGTAAAATCCATTCTATAAATGGATTTTGTCCTTTTATAAAAAAATATTTTTTTAACTTGTTTTCCAAAGAAAATTCATTTTTTTAAATGATTTTATGGCAGTGACAGCCTCTCTCTCTAACATGAACACTTTCACAGGCCAAGTGTCAGGCTGGTATGACTGTCTCATACCAGCAAACACTATTGTAGGTCAGTAACAATCTCTATCACACTAGAACACTAGAATGACAATCTCACGGTCACACAAGAACATTCACACAGTAAAATAAGTCCCATTCACACCAGAGTGATGCAATAAAGCTGCAATGTGTTGGTGTGTCGTGGTGCCATTCATTCCCACCAATGCACCTTCCTGCCCACTTGTTTGTCCATTTTGATGCTACCCTATCACAACAAGCGATAATGTATCACAACAGACCAGGCTGGTCTGCTCTAAGTAGTCTCTTTTTCTCCCTCTGACACAGAAGCATTCTCAAAGGACACTGGCAGTCTCTGTCACATATGAACACTCTTATTGGCAGCATCTTACACACATGAACACTCTCACTGGCAGTATCCTACACACATGAACACTCTCACTGGCAGTGTCTTACACACTGAAACACTCTCACTGGCAGTATCCTACAGACATGAACACTCTCACTGGCAGTGTCTTACACTTGGGATCACTCTCACTGGTGTCTTATATACGGAAACACTCTCACTGGCAGTGTCTTACACTTGGAATCACTCTCACTGGTGTCTTATATACGGAAACACTGTCACTGGCAGTGTCTTACACTTGGGGACACTCTCACTGGCAGTATCATACACACCTGAACACTCTCACTGGCAGTGTCTTATATTTGGGAACACTCTCACTGGCAGTATCCTACACACATGAACACTCTCACTGGCAGTGTCTTACACACTGAAACACTCTCACTGGCAGTATCCTACAGACATGAACACTCTCACTGGCAGTGTATTACATTTGGGAACACTCTCACTGGCAGTATCCTACACACATGCACACTCTCACTGGCAGTGTCTTACACTTGGGATCACTCTCACTGGTGTCTTATATACGGAAACACTCTCACTGGCAGTGTCTTACAATTGGGAACACTCTCAAAGGCAGTATCCTACACACCTGAACACTCTCACTGGCAGTGTCTTACACTTGGGAACACTCTCACTGGCAGTATCCTACACACATGAACACTCTCACTGGCAGTGTCTTACACTTGGGATCACTCTCACTGATGTCTTATACACGGAAACACTCTCACTGGCAGTGTCTTACACATGGGAACACTCTCACAAGGTTGTGAGAGTTTAATTACTGATTTGCAGAAAATGCCCAAGTTAGAGAGTACACCAGAGATGGGGAAGTTCTCAGATGCACAGAAGTAATGGTACTTGCAAACACCATGTAGTATCTGCTCACAGATTAATAGTCAGGTATTGGTTGGTGGAGGGGGCGGGAGTGGGCAAAGCTGCTACTACTACTAGGCCTTATGTGGCATTAATCCAGCCCTCCTTGGGGCTATATAGTTTACTTGAATAGTGGCGTAAAAAAAACTACAACGTTCAGGGTAGTGCAAAGTCAAGATTTAAACTATTTGTATAAACAGGTCCATAAATAAATGAATTTGTATCACTGGTTAAAGATCTGTTAAAACACAGCAAACAGCCTTGGGCAAAAAAATTCCTGCATATACCATTGCAGTCAGTGCATCGCTGAACTGGTCACTGCACAGCTGTGTGACTGTTTAAGGTTGAGTAGCCCCCAACCAAGTTGGATTTGTTGTATGTCAGCCATGTGCGATGACATTAGACTTCCTGATGTCGCTGAACATATGAGAAACTGTTGCTTACTGCTTCTGGTATGTGCTCCACCTGCATCGTTATTAGAATGGGCTGATGCTATCGCAAAACAGACACTAGCAGTAGGTAGAAGGGATTGATAACTTGCTCAGTGGTCCTCCAGGAAATCAAGCTATAAGGGCCAAGTATACGAACACACAGCTGTTGTACCAAATGACAGCTCTGTCACTGTCTGCAATTGTATGGGCTCTTTCATTGTACTGGACAAAACATCTGCCAGAGTATGCCTTGTATGAACTGCAAATCAATGCAGATGATGTTATATTTAACAAAATGTTTTTGTGATTACACTATAAAACTATGTCATTCTAGTATTATTTAGAAATCATCTGACTGCCCTTTAAATATAGTTGCAATATTGGTTATACAAGTTGCTCATCTTAAAGTATATATAAGCCCTAAATGTATTTAATATTTAGCATCATAACTCACTTTATACAGTTTTTGGATGTAAATATTTTTGTCACTCTGTTGCTATGTTTTTTTTTACCAGAAGATCCTGCCAATAACAGCACTTCAAATTGCAGGCTGACAACAATAGTCATTGTGACCTTAATTAGCAGCATGTTGTTAGCCCACTGTGCAAGCTCCTTTACTTGGCTGTTGGGCTGCCTATCTGACAGACTTGATAAACAGCCCAACAGTGAATTAAAGGAGTGCACACAGCAGGATGACAATGCTGCCTGCAAGGGAAGATGCTGTTACTGGCAGGTTCTACAGTTAAACCGCAACAGAGTCACAAAAAATGATCTGCTTAAGAAAACTGTCTACAGTGACACATGGTGCTAAGCATACTGAAATATAGATTTTGAGTATACATAAACTATGAAGTACATTTGGCACCAATGCAGAGGAATAAATATGACATGCTTTCTGGTTATACTATATATCTAAATGGGTTCACTTAAGCACTTCAGAACAAGTTGTCATTTAATGAGTGCAACCTACCTGGTCTGATACTCACTTTCTTCCTCAATCCTGCGATATTCTCTGTGTGGACCCACTGGGAGCCACATGGCCTTTCTTCTGAAAACGTTCTCGCCAGGTCATCCTTGGCCTGCACATGTGCATTGTGGCCCCATTCATTCCTACTGAGAGATCTGTACTTTGCAGCATGAGTGCGGCTTCCCATAGGAATTAATGGGGCTGAGACACACATTTGCAAGTTGAAGAGGACCTGGGAAGGAGGTTGTCAGAAACAAGGCCATGTGATGCCTGGTGGGGCCTGCACAGTAAAGATTGCTGGATTGAGGATAAAGGTTAGTTTTGGACCATATTGGTTGCACTCAGTGGGGGACTGCATTCATTAAATAACAAATGGTATAGCTGACATTTAATGCTTACTGAACTTTAGATATATAACAAGGTCAGTAAGCGGGTCTTATTTAATTATCTGTATTGGTGCCATTGATAGGTTAATGTGACAGTAAATAAAACAAAAATATAGCTGAACTATCACATTCTATGTATTAGTAATTCAGATGAAATTAACAAGTAATAATAACCATATATGAAGCTGATGCATAGTTTTTTTAAAAACCATTTCCTCATATAATACATAATGTATTTTGCCCACTGACCTCACAGGACAACAATCTAGTATTCAAGCATATTGCATATTACAACTGTCTTCTATAAAATCTCTCCATGTGAAAAGTCCCAGAGCCTCACCTACCACGTTAAAACGGCATTTTTAAAATCCCAGCATTAGCAGTATGCATGAAGATAAATGTTAAGAAACAGGTACAAAGATTAATCAAACTTTAGAGTTTATCTTATGTGCTTTTCAAGTGGTAGCACTCTCCAGTCACGACAAGTACTTCAGCAAGGGAATCCATTAAACATGGGCTTCCAGTACTATATACAGGGCACTATTATAACCATGCAGTCCGCTCTTCATGCAGTGGGTTATGATCTGTAGTCCTTTTTGCTGTATGGCTTGTTTCCCAAAATGTTGTCAACTTCATTCACAATATGTGATGTCATCTTTGGAAGAACCTAAGGACAGTGAAACACAATGAAGAAATACAGTAATAATTTGTGACAGTTTTGGTTTAACAGATATTAATAAGATGATGCAATATGAATACTGTACAACACCATAGATGCAGTACAGTATATCTAAAGCAATAACATTTATTTTGTTTTTATTTTGCTTATTTAAAGCATCAGACGCGTTATGTAAAGCTAACGTGTTAGGGGGTTCATGGCTTGAACTAAATGAGACATCTAATTAAAACAACATTTGGACTTTACTTAACATGTTCTTTTCTACCATTAAATGTTCTCAGTGTTCTGATTAATCCTGATTAAGAGCAGTTGGGTTTAGTTGACAAAGAAGAGAGTCTGAAGTCAGAAGGGTTCCTCTGGTGTGAGGACACGCTGGGATGCATTTCCAGGTCTGTCTGGCCTTACAGACAGACACACCAATCAAAACATCTGACATAGAGTGGATACTGCCTAGTCAGCGAGACTGTGCTTGAACAAGTTAAGATTCTGTACTGATCAGACTGGGCAGCCGAATAGCCAGGAGGCTGAATATTGCTTTGTGGTTGTAAATAAGCTAAAACAAGCCCCTCCCAAGGTAAACCTTTATGATTTCCGCTTTATTGATGAATAAAATTGGGTAGGAAGCCCTGAAATGTACTTTGGATTAAACTGGCTATGTATGGTTCACATATCTGCTGAATCAGGCAAACTTTGTGCCATGGGTGGCCATGTCAACACCATTGGGGTCAATGGGGTCAACGCACTTTGCAAAATCAAAGGAGCTGGGTAGAAAATGTTGGTTAACCAGTGACTGCATCCAATCAGATGCAGTCATCATTCAGATTTTCAGACAGCCATGGGTGCTGAACATAACACATAATGGCCTGGCACCCAAGGTCGCTTGATCTAACTCCAGTCAAACACAAATAAAGGATATGATAGGCAGGAAAGCTATTATTGTTTGTGATCACCAGGCTTGAGGAAATGGCTGTACAAATGGCATAGGCCTGCAATAGTTTTTCCTTAAAGGTTGTTAAACATATTTTCATTTCAATGCCAGGCATAGTAAATACAGGCTTGGACAAATTTGTTAGTCCCTTTACAGCTCATTGAAACAATGCATCATTGCTCCTGAAAAGTGAGGAAATTTAAAAAAAAAAACAATTGTCTCATGTATTCCTGCATGCCTTTGGTATGTCATAGAGTAAAGTAGAGAAAGTGTGAAAAGAGAATATTAATCTACAAAGATATTCTAAAAGCACATACAAATAATACGAACAGCGCTCTCGGATTGGGCCAAGGGAATAGGGTGCTGTAGCTATACCTCGCCTGCAGCCCTAGGAGACAGGAGGAGTGCCTGCACTTGTGGAACAAAAAACACACGTGAGGGCGCAAGGCTAGAGGGACTATGAAACTTATTGAAACAAAGTGAAGGAAGCAAGAGGAGATGGATCACTTACTTTTAAGTGGGTCTCGGGACCGGATGGATGTGGAACAGTGAAGGAAATCGTGGAGTCCAACGTAGTGCAATCAGTGAAGGTTAGTGTGTTGCCTTGGGTAGCTCATCACGGGAAAATGAGAAGAGAGGGGTGGACAGGGGTGCAGGTGATGGCACACACAGTGTGTCCATGTCCCCGCTGAAGCAATGTGAAGTGCCAGTGATGTGAGGACTGACGTCAGGCTGGGCTGCAGCTGCGAGTGGAGGAACTCGGGCTGTGAGATGGACGTGTCTGGGCCAGTGTCCGTGCCGTGGTGATGATGTAGGATGGAGAATCGGCCGGGATGGTGGTGAGGTGAGGAGGGATGAGGAAGGATCAGGTTGGTGAGGTAGTGGGTAAAGGCTCGGGAGCAACGCGTTTCGAGGATGTTACCTCTTTGTCAAGCTCATTAGGAATGGTGTGACACTGCAGCCCAGCCTGACGTCAGTCCTCACATCACTGGCACTTCACATTGCTTCAGCGGGGACATGGACACACTGTGTGTGCCATCACCTGCACCCCTGTCCACCCCTCTCTTCTCATTTTCCCGTGATGAGCTACCCAAGGCAACACACTAACCTTCACTGATTGCACTATGTTGGACTCCACGATTTCCTTCACTGTTCCACATCCATCCGGTCCCGAGACCCACTTAAAAGTAAGTGATCCATCTCCTCTTGCTTCCTTCACTTTGTTTCAATAAGTTTCATAGTCCCTCTAGCCTTGCGCCCTCACGTTTGTTTTTTGTTCCAAAAGATATTCTAAAATGGTCTAGACAGATTTGTTGGCACTCCTGGAAAATATTATAAATACTTAGATCATAGTGATGATTCAAACCAACTCTGTCCTGTAATTCTTCTAATACTGAACCATGTAATCAGTCAGTTGGCCTATTTAAATGGAGAAAAGTAGGCACTCTGCTATTTGATATCACTGTGTACACCACACTGAACATGGACCAGAGAAAGCAAAGGAAAGAGTTGGCTGATGATATTAGAAAGACAACATAGACCAGCTATAAGACTATCTCTAAGCAGCTTAACGTTCTAGTGACTACAGTTGCACATTTTATCAAGTTTAAGGTTCATGGCAGTGTAGCCAGCACTCCTGGATGGACCCTAAAGAAAATTTACCCCAGACTGAACAGAGGTACAAATGAAAGATAAAGAACAAAGGAAAGCTTCTAAAGAGATACAAACTAAACTCCAAGGTCAAGGTACATCAGTGTCTGATCCTGCCATCTGTTGCTTTTTGAGTGACAGCGGGCTCAAGGCAAGAAGGGAGAATGTCTTTTGGACAGAAGTGGAGCTTTTTTTCTGACTATTCTGAAGTGGTCGTCTATGAGTCATATTCTGAATCCTATTGAACATCTATGGAAAAAGCTGAAACATGCAGTTCTAAGGAGACATCCCTGAAACCTGAGACAGTTGGAGCAGTTTGTTGAAGAAGAGTAGGCCAAACTACTTGTTGGCAGGTACAGAAGTCTCATTGAAAGCTACAAAAAAAATGCTTGTTTATAGTGATTGGTTCTAAAGATTGTGAAACAAAATACTTTGTTGTTCAACAAGACTGCATATATGGGCACTGGTAATAAATAGATCGCTAGATGTGAAACACTTTGTAGTGGTTTAATGGAATGACTATAATCACACAGTTTGAAGTTGGATTTGATAAATGTGGATAATGACATTGCACAAATAGGAATTTTCATTGAAGCTTGTTCACATCATTGAGATATATCTAAAGTCCTTGTATTAAACTGATTTTTTCTCACCAATCAAGACACATGGGAACACTTAAAACAAGGCTAATTGATTTATACACATCACGGGGTATGTATATAAAATATATAATTAAAAAAAATATATATATATATATATATATTTTCTTGTACAAAAAAATGAATAAGGGGCAAATAAATAAGTAATCAAAAGAGCTACACAAATAGGAGGAAACAAATAATAGTAAGCACTATGGCACTTTATTTATTTATTTTAACTCACTTGGGTGATAGACTATTATTAGGGTTTAAATTAATTTTTCTTTATAAAATTAACTTGAAGAACAATAAATAAACGAAGAACAAATAGTAAATAAATGAACATGGTTATGTTATAGATATCAGGACTCGAGACGGTCCTAGTGTGCATCTGTGGCTCCACTGCATGAAAACTCTGGGAGGGCTGGATAATTATCCTGTCTTCCTGGAAGTAGGTCTTTGGACCATCCCGGAGTCTGGGGTGAGTGCCTGCATAGTTAAGCTATATTAAGGAAGAAACATGTTCAGCTAACAGAATATATAGATTTGTAAAATATGGTGTATTGATGGACATATTGCTAAACAATGATTTATCTATTCATAACCAGATTCTTGCCGGGAATAAAACTCCCTGAGGAAGCTTAAAAGCGAAACGCGTTGGTTGAATTGGAGCAGTTTATTACTGCACATGAATTATGTGACAAAATGAGATGTGCATATAATATGAATGGAAAATGTAAATACATAAATTGTGAGAATTAGGCAAGAACCTAGGCTTTGAGAATCATGCTGATCAATAATAATGAATTTTAACCTTTGTTATGTATGAATTTTAATGATTTGTAAAAAATTTATATAAATAGAAAACCCTCTGACGCCTCTTTAAAACCCCATCACAACCTAGGTTGTGAATGTTTTTGTATAAACAAAATATTAGGTTTGGGGTCCCATAATTTTTGTTCATGCCAATCCATTTGTTTTATTGTTGTTTTATTGTTTTATGTAGAATCTTCTGCTGAATCAAAAATCAATATCAAATTCTGACCTTTATTAACTATGGAATAAACAATGATAGATGCCAATTACTTTGGTCAGTCCGGAGATAGATTATCATTCGAACCATCCATGGATCTTGGAGAACAGAACAACATTGGGATACCATCGTTCTAAACCAGGAGACTCTCCTTTGATCTGGACACAGCCATTAAAATATACCGGAGCATATGTTCAGTAAAGGCAAAAATATCCACAGCGGATAAAAAAAAAGCCGAGATAAAGCTATTCTGTCTCCTGAACCTTTTGCATTTACAGCTGATCCACAACATAATGTTGGTGATATCATCCCAGTCCCCAGAGGACATGTACCTTTGATCCAGCCAGGAACATTTCCTCCCTTTTCTTCTGCCCTGGACACAGCCACTCTACAACCCAGACCAAACGTTCAGTGATGGCTATTTTACAACAGCAAAACAGCGGAAAATAAAGCCGAGATAAGGCTAAATATCTCCTGAACCATCTTATATCTACAGCTGGGTTTACATATACTCATGGCAAAAATCATTCCGGTCTCCTGATCCAGATCCACAAGTGGAAAATACAGTGAGTGCAATGTTTTATCATTCAAGTGAAGCCTCTCTTTTTGACTTTATCATAATTTTTTTTATATATATATTTCTTCAATATCTTTTTCTTTTTTTTTCATACACGTGTATGCTCATTCTCCGTTTTTGATTTCGGGAGACCGATACTCCTCTTTCTCCAATGTTTAAACTTCCCAACCCACGGATACCCTTCTGATATCCGATACCACGGAATACAGGTACAAAAAGCATCCCTGGGCGAACCTTACAATATTCATATACGCATATATTTATATGCATATGTATTTTTCTATTAATTAGCCGTGAGCAGTCATATATATGTGTTTTCATGTTTGTATGTTTTTTGATATGTATATAATGTTTTAAAAATATAGAAATAAATACAATTTCTATAACCTATTTGTTCTATACTTTGTAACCATGGTGGAATCCCCTTCTGGGGAATATTCGTGATTTTGCTATTAATTACACTAGGGGACCCACCGTGTGAATTAAGTGATTTTTTGTTATTGATTATATACTTTGAATACCTTCCTTCCCCATTTATATATTATACTTTGGTCAGTTTCAAGTTATTTCAGAGAAATTTGTGGGTTCTTCTTCTTTTGGTGGAAGGGTACCAACAAATTGGTCCACATCTGTAAGTATTGGTACATCAGAAGCCCTCCTAATTATTGTCTTTCAATTGGAGAAACTGAATAATGAACAATAACAATATTGCATATCCAAACGCTATTAATTTATTCAATATACTATATGGTATTTAATGGTTTTCCAATGCTGATCTAAATCATATATAAATCTCTTGTAGGTGTTGCGTTTTCATTACCCCTCAGTGTATTTGTAAAAAATAAACTATTCCTGGTTATAATGATAACGAGGCATAATGGTTACACATAGGGGTGTATTTACAAAACAGTTGCAGAGCTATTTGTCCCGCGAAACTGCAGATACATTTGTTCTAAGTGAATGAGGGCAAATACAAATGTTATTTGTATATTCTCTTTTCAGGTCGAATGTCATTTATACAGAAGAATGCAGTGAATCAGGAAAATACTGCATTATGGCCACTATATGGAGTAGAGGATAATAGGAAATAAATACTTACTGTATTTCCTATGCTCATCACCTCCATCTAGTGGCCATAATGCAGTATTTTCGCCGATTCACTCTAATTTTGTGAATTAATTATATACAGTCTGGAAAGAAAATATACTAAAAACATTAGTTTTCCCCCATTTGCTCAGAACAAATGTACATGGCAGTTTTGCAGGATAAATAGCTCTGCAAAGGTTTTATAAAATCACCCCATCGTTACTGTGTCTATAGTAGAGGAAATTAATGGAGCAGTAGGTCTATGCATATTGATGTTGTTCTGTTATCATTAGATGTAGCCTGTTATCATTTGAGGATTTCTTTAACTAGGTTTCTATGGCAGATGTGCTGTGTGCCATGCACTGATCAGCAGAGAATAAAGGGCGAGAAAGGAAAGCTTGTTGAGCCCAGCTGGTAAACGACAACATGAAAGTTACAACAAAGGGAATGTTTGTATGTGAGTGGATTTCTGCTGTTAACTAAACGGGTCCCAGTAGTTTGCTGGAAACCAGACCTATGAGAGGGGATTTCTGATATCTCTTTCCACTATGCTTGGTACATAAAACCCGTAGAAGTGTACAAAGTAACTTAAAGATTAAAAGGAACAGTCCACAATAAATGGATATTTCAGTGTGGTACATTTTGAGAAATTTTGTTATGCTTTACGCCATAGGAAAGAGACCACTTATAATGCAATTAACTAAGGCATTAAAACAAAACAAAATAAGTGTTTTTGTACAATATTGCGCAAAATATGTCATACAATTCAGATGAGAGAAACAGCACTACATGTATTCAGTTTTTGTGCAGAGATTGTTTTAGAAGAGCAGGACATTTTCTGACAGAAGCAGAAGAGTGCATGGAAAGGAAAAAGGGGAAAGGTTTAAATAAGGCAACCTGCCATTTACAGAAAAAGTGTAAAAATATGTGTCTGCAGTGGTGGCGGATGTGATTCAAGCACACAGGAGTCCTAAATTACCGGTATATCAGAACTTAATTCTATGAAAAACACCAAATGTAAGATTACTCAGGGGAAGCTAATGAATTCCTTCCATTAATACCTTGTTTTTTTGAATGTATTAGTGATCTCTTAAAGAACACATTAAAGTTCCATATTTACGATATTATTCACTCTGGAGTGCTACTTCTTGATAGTGTACTTCCAAAATGTTAGGATACAAGCAAGAGCTGCATTTATTAAGCGACTTAAAAGAGAGCTGTTTAAAGTCAAAAGAAAGGTTTCAATTGAGAACACACTTTTGCAGGATGATTATCTCTGCAAATTGGTTGGCAACCAAGTCAGAACTGTAGCAGGGAGATCTTGCATTGAAGCCCCCACAAAAAAAGAGGACAGTGGCTGACTCAGGCCATCAGACTCTTTCTACTACTGAAATATCACTTCTGGGTCCATCGATCCTTTGAAGTGTACTTATGATTTAAAGTCACTAATTTAGTGGTTGATGAGTTGCAAATCTTGGCATGGTATAAACTTTGTAACTGTGTCCAAGGGTATAGTCATGCCCTAGCTCCCCAGCTTGGATGGCTTTATGGGCTGGTGGTGTGGCACACTGGCTGAGGACAGTATCTCAATTTGCATTGCTAGCAAGTCACAAAGCTTGGCAGGGACAAACTTTAGCCTCCCCTGACATCAATTGTTATGGATATGCTAATAGTATGAGAGACAGACCTGCAATACAGAGGTGCATCTACCGTGTTTCCCAGAAAATAAGACCTACCGTGAAAGTAAGACCTAGCACTATTTTTCAAGATTCCTGTACTATAAGACCTACCCCGAAAATAAGACCTAGTTTGGTGGTAGCATGTGAGGGGGAACTTAAAGAGCAGGAGAGATGGTATCAGCCTGCATGGACATGCTGTATTAAGGGTATGACAGGGGACTCCCTCTGGCCAGCGCAGTGACAGGGAGCACTCCAGTACCATACTTCACCAACTGCTGTCCCCCTGAAGGCACTGCTTAATGTAATGGTACTGTACTGTAATGTATACCGGTAAATGGTACCATACTTTACCGCGCTGTCCACGGTCTGATGTCCTCACTGCTGCACCGCTGGTACTGCAGTCCCTGATGGCAATGGAAGCCAGCGCTGTAGAAATCAAGGCTGTGGCGGCGGAGGGAGCAGAACCGCATTAGCCGATACTTACTCTATAGCGCCGGTTACTGTGACAGGCGGAGTGATACCAGATGCACTCCGCCTGTGAAAGTAAAAGAAAGGGATCAGTATTAAAAAAAAAATAAGACATCCCCTGAAAATAAGACCCAGTGTGTTTTTTGGGGCCAGAAAAATATAAGACAGTGTCTTATTTTCTGAGAAACACGGTATATTCTACTGTGTAGCAAGGGAGGGAATTTAAATTGTATGTAAAGGATAAACGTTTATAATAATAGCATTGCCTACCTCCTGTTAATTACCCTCTTTACCTTTTTGTTAATTGTGTCTTGCCGGCTGCAGTTTTTTTAGGCTTGTCTAATTGTCCTGTTCCCTGTGGACACATGTCCCTTAACCTAAGCATGGTTGTCATCTAGGGGTGCTTGTTTTCCCGTAATAAGTTACATTTTGTGTCACGATACATGCCTGTCTACTTTGACTGCACCAAATCCATACTGTTTGCAATCCTAGCCTACTTCTCAGTCGTTCCCACTATCTGTTAGACCAGTCATGCCCACAGGCTCAGTTGTGCTGATGCAATATGTGCACTGAGAAATGTAGTTTTTATAGCAATGTCACGTGTGAGAAATTGAAGGGCCCTCCACATCCGGAGCATGGGGTACACAAAACAGTAAGTAGCAGTTACAGAGTGAACAGTGGTAACTCTTACAGGCTAAAAAGAGAGTATTTGTAAAAAGACTTTAAACGAAAGATGAGAGCAATCCATACATTTGAGAAATTAATGATAATATTAAGTAATCTATGAGATTTTAGTTCTACTTTAAGATTCAGGTGGGCACTTTTAGCATCAGTACTTTTCTGGAAGGATAGTCACTGCCACCATCATATTTACTGTGTATAGCCCAATGTGCTTATGTGCAAAGTAAGGCTGTGATTGCAGCCCAGTGCAGGGAGGTCCCAGACCTTTATTATCCTTGCCATATATATTCAGTCATTATGATCATACTAGAAGATTCATAACTTCTCCTACCTGAATAGCTCCAAGATTTTCTACAAGTTGTTCGGGATTGGAAGACCCTAATAGGACAGAACTTACTCCTTCATTCCTCAGGCACCAAGCTGCAAAGTAAAGACATAACATTTTCAGTTGTAGTCTTATATTACTATAAATCAGAGCAGATGTTTGGTAATATTTATTGGCAGCTGAAATTATATATGAAAGAATGCAATATGTTTTGTTACCTATTCAGTTTACTTAGGCAACATTTCTTCGTACAGAGCAATCTCCTTCTTGGCTCCACATACAATATTCAAGGGCTTTTTTAAATATTCACGTGGGCTGCTCACACCACCCTTCAAAGCTTAAGGCTGGGTTCACACCTGGGCGTACGGAATATGTGCGTTTGCCGCGCGAGAGCTATCCGGCTGTATCCTAATGGATACGCGCGGAAAATACGCCCCAAAGTAGCTCCTGTACTCCTACGCGCTGAAATACGCCCAGGTGGGAACCATGCCCATAGGCAATTATTGGTTTTCACACGTTGAGCGTTTCACAGCGCGTCGATCAGCGATGTAAAACGCCCAGGTGTGAACCAGGCCTAAATGATAGTTTTTCATGAAGCTTGGTTTTTGAAAGATTTTTGTAGTTGACGTTATGTCTCAGCACATACCACTTACCTACTGCAAGCTGTGGCAAAGTGCACCCAAGACGCTCTGCTATTGGTACCAAATCTTTAAGCTTGGACTGTTGTTTCCGACCCTCCTCACTCAGTATTTTGTCCTTCAACCACTGGTAGCACTGGTGTACATAGAAGAAACAGAAATCAACATGTGACAGAAGGCATTTAGGGAACGTTACATATAACTAGTGGGGATGAGTGAACAAAACTGAACAAATTCAGATGTTTGGACTTTTCCAATTTACATATAGCTGGTATGTACAAACATTGGCCAATCTGTCAAACGTGGTTTGATCTCATTTTGAATGTACTTTTCATTTCCCTTTTCAGTAAGTGTGCCCATTGACTGGAACATACCAGCTCTGTAATAAATATGAAGACTTGTATTCCACATCAAGGGGGCACATGGCTCCCCACTGTTCTAATGCCAGCCTGTATCGTAAGGACTTGTAACCCTGCTTCCCCCACTCCAGTTCTGCATTTTAACTCAAGTTTTTAAAAAAAACAAAAACACAAGGACCGCTCTGCCATAACACCTCATAGTGTTTATTGTACTATTTTTAATTGTATTGCACAAAAGGTGGAGATTGCCTCCAATTGAAAATAGGTAAGTTGCAGATAACTACACCAGGTTTCTGGTTTCCAACACTTCTTCATGGCGAGCCATAGGTGCAAAAAAGCCTGATGCACCTTCAGCTCTGGTCTAATGTTTATAGATAGGGACCATTTTATTTTTCAGTCCCTTCATTTTGAAACACTGATCTGTTGCTGTGCGGCATATGGGCTGGCATTAACACAGAAGGGGTCTGTCTGCAAAGCCTAGTCCTAGTCATTCTGTAGCCTTTAGCGAGGTACATTATGATTAAAACTTCCATAGCAAGGAAACCAGCATTTTAATAAGGTGCACTTTTCAGGCTGTCTTATTTTAAACAGCTGCCCCTTTAGAAACGTACCTCAGAGAGCGCCCAATGATAGTAAGGCTGTTAGTCTTTCAGAGAACACTTGTTTTCAGCAGACATCTAAAATGCACGTGTTCCCAGATGACTCTCTGCTTGCTGAGTACATATGGGCAGGCAGATTCATCGAGAATGTTAAATTAGCATTTTGCTTTATGAGGTTACATAAAAATGTCTGTAAACATTATTTCCATTTTCCGCAGCTGCTGATATGTGCTGCATGGAAATTGAAGTAATGTTATGAACACAAATTAATGGGTGAGTCTCTTCATGAGACATACATTTAGAAGGTACTAAAAAATTTGTTTGACCATTTAAAGAACCGTATTCTACATCGTAGAGGAATGTTTTACATATTTGACTGAACTTAGGAGGTACTGTCTTAAATTGTATGTAAATCCTAACAATGAACGGCTCTTTTGGTCTGTTAAATACAGACATTTCCCGCTTACCGACTTACCTGCTTTGCGACCACTCGCACTTACGACCGACCTCCGATCGACGGCGAAAGTGATGTCCTCCGTTCTTCACTGCGGGTCCCGGTAAGTATTTTATTGCACGATGTACAGTACACTGTGCAGTACTGTACATCTGCAACACTATACAGTACTGTACTAATGCAGTACAGTTCTGTATAGAGTTCCTCACTTAACGACCAATTCGTTTAACGACCTGGTCTTGGAACGGAACTCGGCCGTTAAGTGAGGTATACAATTAAAAGTGTTTTGTTATATCTGTTTAATAGACATGTGCACCAGCAAAAAATTAGTTTAGTTTAGCTTCCTTTTGATTCGGATTTTGCTTTACAGTATTTTGTTTTTTCGGAATTCGGGTCCGAAAGTCAATTCGTTTCGGAATTCGGATTCAGACGAAATTCGTTAGCGGAAATCCGTACGAAATTTAGTTTCTAATTCGTTTAGTTTTCGTTTCATTCGTTTGTTGCAGCAAAGTGACATTTAAGAGGGAAAAAATGTTTTTTTTGTTCTCAAATGTCACTTTGCTGCAACAAAATTTCGTCCAAAAAAAACGAATCGGAAATTCAGATTCGTTTGCATTCGTTATACCTGTAATTCGGAATTCGGATACATCTCGAATTTCGATTCGGAACAAAACGAATCGCACATGTCTACTGTTTAATAAGCGCAAAAAAAAACATTGATCATATCAGAAATTCAGAGTTGCCCTATGCCTTTTGCACACTTCCTGCGTTATCTCAAGGAGTCTAATTACCCCTCCCATTTTTAATCTAGGACTACAGAATTATGGGGAGGGCTTGATTAGTTTAGAAAACTAGGCAGGGCTGACACCACTCAGCTGAGTGCATTTTTGGTAGATCAACAAATATTTTTCTGTTGCTGCAGGGTCTTCAAGGGATAAAACATGGGGAGATGTGCATAAATTGAAATACGAACTTCATATATTTTTTTATTTTGCCCTGACATACACATGAATACCTTTAGTGATGCCCGTGTACTTTCAGGAACCCCATTCTCATATTTTCCAGAGATAATGCCACAGGCAAGGGGGGACCATGTCATTGCACCAACACCTGTAAAACAAAACAATTTCAGATTTCCCTGTAAAATAGTCGGCGTCTTTGAGATTTTTGTGGCCGCTGAATCTGGATACTTAATCAAGTGTGATGAAGTGTAGAATGTGTATTATACATCAGTGCTAAAACTATTACTAAGATCTTTACAAAGTGAAACTGTAACTAATATTTCAGAATCTGATTATGTTGTGCCTAGGGCGCAATGCCATCTGGCAACTCTCCGAAGTCCTGTAAGCGCTCCTCTGGTTAGGAGGATCTTTATGCAAATTATAGAATGCACTCTAATTTGTAGCTACCCAGAATGTGTATTAAACGTGTATGGCTGACGTCCCAGTGGTGATTCCAAAGTACTACTCCACTTTACCCAATTACAGTTACTTCACTAAAAGAAATGATGCAGAATGTTAATCGATAGCATTAAGAACAAAAAATTATTACAGTATTATCTTGTTTTTGCTGGGCAAAAAAAGAGTAGCCATGTTTTATTTATTTTCCTAGAAATACCTCCTGTGCTAATTAAACCCTGGTGTTTCTACATAAACAGGGTTAGGGCACATATTTTTTGCAACAGTATTCATTGGCCATTAATGACTTCCAAGCAGTTACTAGTGATCACTACACATGCAATTGCATATAGTAGCCAATGAGTGCACATACTTGGAGAATTGTGGTATTATTACTATCAATAATCACTACTATATGCTATACACCCTTGTTCCCTATTTGTAGCAATCACTAGCTAAGGCTAAGTTGTGTCTGGTTTGGTACACATTCTGGATATAAGCATTTTTAGCATATGTGCACTTGAGCATATAAAGCCACACAGAAGCACAGTGGCCTATAATACCAACATTTTGCTCCTCCTCCATAACCCAGTGGACATCATCACCATCATCATTACTTATAGCTGCTACTCCTGCCCTGGTAGCTAGGTTTTTTTTCTGATCAAGAAACCTCTACCATTTGATGCAGCAATGATGAAGAGGGAGAGAGGAAAAGTACAAAAATTAAGTTGATAAAGAGTGACTCATTTGCTGTGGATGTTCATCCACATCCCCAACAACAACAGGAGAGTCCATTTTTTCCTCCTCTGCACCTGCAGAGTGTCTTGGAAGAAAAATGTAATACTTAGCCAGCCATCTGCTTTGATGTTCAGTAGACCAAGTTGTCAGACATGCTAGTAAGTCAACCATTATTAATAAAAGTGTCCATGCACTGTAATCTCATGAGTCTAAGATAATGGCAGGAATTCCCTCCATGTGCTCAGGTGCAAATCAATACGGACAAATGGAGCAGCAGGTACAGCTAGGGATAGTACTTTCAATTTGGCTTTCACCCAGACAAAGGTTTAGCTACGTGGCGCCTATGAACAACATAAAATTGGTCAGTGACTAAATTATACAGCATTTTAGCAAAGCAGGGATCATTTACTTTCTTGTAACCAGGCATCGGCAGCTAGGCCTAAGTGTCACCTACTGAAGCTCACGGAACAACTGACCAGGTTCAGATTCCTGCTGCATTGTTGCTCCTCTGCCTCTGTCATTGCGGCCAACATCAGCAGCAGCCACTACAAAAGGCTATATGAGGGTTATGTGTCTTTACCTACATGGAGGTTTTTATACTCGCTGTTTTAGACTTACCTATTTTGTGATACAACTCAGGCAGTTGGACTTCCACCTTCTCTCTTTGAAAGAGATGATATTCTGCTTGTTCACAAACTGGAGGTATTAGGTTAAACTGTCTGGCTACTGAATATGCTTCCTAGATGCAAGAAGTAAGATAATTACTATTTACAATTATTACCCAATATCTATCAATCTATCTATCTATCTATCTATCTATCTATCTATCTATCTATATGTAATACTTAGCCAGCCATCTGCTTTGATGTTCAGTAGACCAAGTTGTCAGACATGCTAGTAAGTCAACCATTATTAATAAAAGTGTCCATGCACTGTAATCTCATGAGTCTAAGATAATGGCAGGAATTCCCTCCATGTGCTCAGGTGCAAATCAATACGGACAAATGGAGCAGCAGGTACAGCTAGGGATAGTACTTTCAATTTGGCTTTCACCCAGACAAAGGTTTAGCTACGTGGCGCCTATGAACAACATAAAATTGGTCAGTGACTAAATTATACAGCATTTTAGCAAAGCAGGGATCATTTACTTTCTTGTAACCAGGCATCGGCAGCTAGGCCTAAGTGTCACCTACTGAAGCTCACGGAACAACTGACCAGGTTCAGATTCCTGCTGCATTGTTGCTCCTCTGCCTCTGTCATTGCGGCCAACATCAGCAGCAGCCACTACAAAAGGCTATATGAGGGTTATGTGTCTTTACCTACATGGAGGTTTTTATACTCGCTGTTTTAGACTTACCTATTTTGTGATACAACTCAGGCAGTTGGACTTCCACCTTCTCTCTTTGAAAGAGATGATATTCTGCTTGTTCACAAACTGGAGGTATTAGGTTAAACTGTCTGGCTACTGAATATGCTTCCTAGATGCAAGAAGTAAGATAATTACTATTTACAATTATTACCCAATATCTATCAATCTATCTATCTATCTATCTATCTATCTATCTATCTATCTATCTATCTATCTATCTATCTATCTATCTATCTATCCTTAACTACCTCCCGGCCGTTGTGGAAAAACGGCCGGCCGGGAGCTCCCTGGATCTGAGCGGGCGTCTTTAGACGTCCGCTCAGACATGCCCCCTCGCACGCGCCGCTGGGCGCGCTCAAGTGGGAAATGCCCGATATTTAAAAACAGGCAGCGATGCCCGTTAACATACAAGCGGATCGCTTGTATGGGGTAACGATCGCTGTGTCCCCCTCCGCGATCCCCCCCGCCATTGTCCCGCTGGTCCCGGGATCAGCACGGTGCCTGTGTCATAGGGGATCAGAGAGAGATCGGTACACGAGCTCCCTCCGGTCCCCTCTCCGCTGCAAGAATGCGGAAGTGTTGTATATTACATCACTTCCGCATTCTTGTGTCACTCTCCAGCTTCCAAAGCTGATGAAGCAGATCTCTGCTTCATCAGCTTCTTTTGGGGGTCCCAGGTGACATTAGGGGTCTTGGAGACCCCTGATGTCTCCATAAAGAGGACCTGTCACATATTTTGCTATCACATAGGGGGTTTTTTATTAGCCCGCTATGTGATAGCAATAAAGTTTAGTGAAAAAAAAAATAGGAAAAAAAAATGTAAGTTTCCCCCCCCAAAAAATTAAAGTTACACATAAAAAAAGAATAAAAAAACGATTTTTAAAAAAAAAGTCCCCACCCATACATACGCGCATGTAAACATGCGTCGGGGGCGCATACATGCAAAAACGTTGATTGCGCCCATTATACCGCACATGTTACATATCGCCGCGAACGCTGCAGTGAGAGCAATAATTCTGGGACCATCAGTCACTGATAACACTAAACTGATGAGCGGTAAAAGCTTTTAAAATGTCGCCTATGTCCAATTTTGGGTATGGTAGTTTTCTGCGATTTCGCGGGTGCGCACAATTTTAAAGCTTTATATTTTACCAAAAAACTGGGTAATAATAAATGTTTCCTAACATTATGTAAAAAAATAACTTTTTTTACCTCAAATTTTCACCAATTTTTCTTAATTATATTAAAAAATAAAAATCACAGTGGTGATTAAATACCCCAAAAGAAAGCTCTATCTGTCCCCATAAAATGGTATACAATTCATTTCAGTACAGCGTTGCATGATGGAATAAATGTCAAAGTACTGCAGCACTGAATACTGAAAAATGGCCTGGCCAGGAAGGGTGTCTAAACACCTGGTCTTCAAGCGGTTAAAGAAGATCTCCAGAAAAGCAGCTCAATACAAATGTAAAATCCATATACATTTACTATTTAACCTGCAAAAGATTTTAATTCTATACATATCTCTGCCACACTGCACAGAAAGAAAGATTACTATGCTGCTTACTGGTTCAAATTTACGGCTCCCTACATCACCTCCTTGCTAATTTTTCAGAGGTAATTATGGCAAATTATTGTGCAAAGAGCAAGCAGGAACTAAGGAGGTGACAAAGAAAACTGCATTGCTGAGCCAAAGAATAGGTGTGCCTGGCTTGACTATGCAGTCTGAAAGAGGTGTGTAAATCAGAAGACTGGCTTACCAGAATTACTAGTCTACTGCCAAGCAAAACAGTTTTACATTGAGTATAGTTATTTCAACTGTGTATTTAGCTGTTTACCTGTAGTTCCTCTATAAATAATCTATGCAAGAATGCATGCTGCGTGCTAAATCTGATTGTAGCTTTGAGTTTATTTCCCATTTGAATTATTTATGCATATGATAAATATAATACATTACTGTATGAAAAACAAAAATGAAATATAATCATTTCCTGTGCTGGAAAATAAATAAATATTTACTTATTTAAATAATATTAAGTGATATCTAGGTATACTTTACCATAATTTCCATTGCACTCCAGCGTGATGTTCCCCAGTACATCGCCATCCCTTGATTAATTACATAGGACATTGCCCTGACAATTTCTAGGGAAAAAGCACAAATATGAAATGAAATGTATTTGACACAAAATAATGTAGGAGCTTTTCCAATATGTCACTGTAGGCTAGTCAGCTAACATAGGGACAGCTGGTTACCTCCAGCTAGTCAAAGTTATTTTTCTGCATAGTTTTTGGGTCCTATGTAAATAAAGCAAAAGGAACGTCTGCATGTTGCCTGCTGTAGTAGGATCAGAGCTTAGCACACAAAACTAAATCCTATGAGAAACATGCCAGACATGGGGTCTATTCACAAAAGTGTGAAGAGTTTGGAGAAGGCAGGAGAAGTGAACAATCTAGGCCAAAATAGCTGAACTGGAAAGTGAGCAGAATTGGTGAATTTTTCCAAATCGGCTATTTTGTTCTAGATTGTTCACTTCTCCTGCCTTCTCCAAACTCTTCACCCTTTCGTGAATAGACCTGTATGTGCTCAGAAAACCCAACTGTAAGGTAAAAGTATATATCCTTCAGCTTATTGTGGTTTCTCATTGCAACTCCTTTTGTACATTTTCTTACATCTTTTCAATATGCATACTAAAGCAGATAAAACTCACCTGAAATTCATACCAATTGCCGACATATAAATCCTAACTCCTTGTTAAGACCTGTGAGGGCCTCTTTCTCCTTTTTCTAAGACTATAGTGAGGATTATTGCAGTGCACCCAGTTACCTATTACCTTTTTTTAAACAGCAAAATGTATTAGGTAAACCCACAGTCTGTTTTGTAGCCAGAGTAATAGATGTGTGATAGAATATGACTCCATAGGCCATTTTGGGCCTGGCGAGCGACA